AGCACGCTGCGGTGCGAGATGCAACACCACGCAGCACTTCGGTGGCGGTAGTGCACCCCACGCACGCACTAACCGCCGAAGGATACCCTCCCAAACGCACTCGCCCAAGAGGCAACGTCGCCGCGCCCCTCCCGCTGCGTTGGCGCCGCCCACACCGTTTCCCCGCCGCCCCCCTCCCACCGCACGGTGCACGGCCGCACGCCGGACATATCCCGGGGGAAACACACGAATGTGCGGCACCTTTCGTCGGCCTCGGCACCCCATGAACGGCAGAGCCGTGGAGTCCAAGTGCCGGTCAGGGAGCGAAAGTGAAAAGGGAAATGATGCGCAAGCGAATGCGCACGATGCAGCAGGAAGAGGCTGCGAGCATGTCCGCACTCTCCGTGGAGCCCATCCCGAGTGCTGCGCAGATTCGTCCCTGTGGCGAAGGGGGACGAGAGCAATGGGAGGGAAACAAACAGCAGGAGACACGGAGTGGAGAAAAGGGGCGCGATTGGAAAGCGTGCCAGCAGGTCGCCCACCACGCTCACCGCCGCAGCCCCAAACCCCCCGCGCACGCAGAGAAATAATAATAACAACAAACAAACCAGGCCAGCATCGTCGGCACCACCGCAACGAAGAACAACAAGGACACCCAGGGGGAAAATAATAATAATAGTGGTGGTAACAGTCAGAAGTTCCATCGCCACCGTTGCGATGCACAAAAGCGTGGGGCCTCCCCTCCGAGTTTGTGGCACGGGCACGACGCAAGAGAAACCTCCAACGCAGTTCAAGGCGAACAATGCAGGGAACCTGCGAGCACAGACACAGACGGTGGGTGCCTCTCACCGCATTCGCCACCACACGCTGCCTCACACTACTCCACATAGACACACACTGACAGATGCGCGCAGCTGAATAGGCGAACACGCACCGACGCCGCCCTTGCCGCGACGGTGACTGCAGGTGCGGTCATTCGCCGCAGCAGAAGCCTCCGAACCGTGGCAGGGAAAAGACGCCCGCGGTGGTCGAGGACGCTTCTTCTTCTTCAGTGCTGCCTCACAAGCTCCCGAAGGAAGTTTCTAGAGGCCCATTGATCCAGAGAAGTAAAGGATGAAAGCGGCCCTCTATTATCAACGCAGCGTCCAATAGAAAAGAAAAAACTCCGGCGGAACTTTCCAAGACGAGGAGGCACAATGAAACGCACTCGGACAACGATTCACACGCTGGTAGCATCCAAGAGGCACACATGTCCTCGTCGCGGCCCCATTTTGGGCGTCGCGGAAGAAGGGCTTCAGCTGCGCCATTGGGGCGGCGAAGATCTCACCTCAAGCTGCGGCGCCAGTTGCGTTGGGCACACGCCAAAAGGAACATCACTTACTTCCTCCCTCTCCTAAGAGCAACGAGAAGGGAAAAGAAAAACAAACAATAATAATAATAATGGGAAGCGCAGCAAAGTGGGGGGTGACCGCGTTTATATAACTCGTGCGTGGGCCCGTTGCACGCGCCAAGAGGCAGCGGAATGGGGAGGGCAGCAGCAGCCCATTTTAAACTGCGTCCCCCCTTTGGCTGCGGCCCTTTTCCCAAATTCCTACACACACAGAGAGAGAGAGAGGGCGCGTAGTCCTGTTCCGTGTGCCCGTCACTCCCCCAAATGAGGTGAAATCTACCCAACCCACTCAGACACACACCAGCAGACAAAAA